CGAAGTGGTATAATAACCCTTGGTCTAGATTTATTTTTCGCACTGCTCAGGTGCTATCAGAACCACTTAGTGGTTTGCCGAGCGTTTCCAATAAATAACAACTTTAGTTAATCAAACAAAGTACTTCGCCCCGTACTAGGCATGGTTGCCGTTCGGGCACTAAAACCAAGCATTTAATAAAAATGAAGGTGAGCCTATTACCAAAGCTTCACTTGACATTTTCTTGTTCAAGATTTTTTAATCCCTATAAAACAATGGTGACGTGGAATTAATAGTAATAATACTGTGATTAAAATTTTAATGTACTAACACTCGATGCTGAGCGGGACTTTTAATGTATTAAAACACGTCGCTGGAGTGATGCCTTTCGGATGCACTCCGATCGCTCTATTACCCCGATCATGGGTTGGCCAGTCGGTCCACTAAACCAACCATTTAAAAATGATGGTGAACTTATCACTAGAGCTTCGCTCGGCACTATTTAATTCGGGCAATTTCATCCCTAATAAATAATGGTGATAACAAATAAATAATAACAATAGCACTTATTTATTAAATCGGTGAATGACTGGTGGTACTTAGCTAGATAGGCCGAATTTCAGCTGACAGATCCAGGTACTGATCCATTAGGAATTTGATCCAGCCTGATAATGAATTTTAGCTGCAGCCATTCTCACCGAGGTAGGCCCATCTGGCCAGTGGATAATCAGCCCATCAAATAATTCCCTTGAAGTAGACATGGCTCAGCCTCCTGCCCAGAGTTGGAGCCAATTATCTGGCCGATCAAGATTTCCAGAAGGTGCTCAAAAGCCAGACGGGTCATCACGAAAAGATGGAGCCTAGATTCACCGCTGACTGCGAAAATGCCGAACGGGGATCTGTCGGTCGGAGGAAGGCTGGATGGCGTGCGGCCGGGTAGAGATTCACCAAGGTCGAAGCCCATAATCACAGCTGACGTGTGTTATGTGGAAAATTTACCATTTCCCAAGTATCATTCTTTTCTATCATTTTGATCTCCTCCTCCATTGCTTTAATCCAAACTTTTTCTTTGGAAGCTTCGGTGTAGCTATATGGCTCCAAGGAGCAAAAGTTGCATGTTTCATCGATGTCAGTAGACTCATATAGGTTTGCTAGAGTTCTTACCCGAAGAGGTGGGGACTCTGACGAGGAGTGGTGATTTCTTGATGTATTAGCTTCAAAAGAGGATCTTGGAGTAGACGTGGGGCTTTGTTGATCGTGATTTTCCTCTTCTCGTATTTCCTCTAGTTGAACAGTAGTTGTCTTTCTTTCAACTTTTTCTGTCTCCCAATTCCAAGAGGCTTGCTCGTCAAACTCCACATCTCGACTTGTCACCAACTTCTTTGTCTCGAGATTGTAGATTCGATATCCCTTGGATTTGGAGCTATAGCCAAGGAAGATGCTCTTCTCTATCTTGTCTTCTAATTTGTGCCTTTTAACAGAGGGAACATGAATGTAGCATATGCTTCCGAAGACCTTCAAATGTTTGGCTGAAGGCTTTTGTCCCGACCATGCCTCAATAGGTGTTTTGTTTAAAACCGCCTTAGTTGGACACCGGTTTAGAAGATAGACTGAAGTATATACTGCCTCTGCCCAGAACGTTTTAGGCATTCCTTTTTCAGCTAACATAGACCTTGCCATCTCCATGACTGTGCGGTTCTTCCTTTCGGATACCCCATTTTGTTGTGGAGTGTATGCTACTGTTAGTTGATGCTTTACACCTTCATCTTCACAGAACTTGTCAAATTCTTTTGAGTTGTATTCGGTACCTCGATCGCTTCTCAACTTCTGGATTTGATGACCACTCTGTTTCTCCACGAAGTTCTTGAATCTCTTGAATATTCTAAAGACTTCGGATTTTTCTTGGAAAAAATACACCCATGCCATCCTAGAGTAATCATTGATGAAGAGTATGAAGTACCTGTTCTTCGAAACTGAAGGCGTGCGCATTGGACCGCAGACATCGGTGTGGACAAGTTCTAGTATCTGTTTGGCTCTTCGTGTCTTTTCTGTTGGAAATGGTTGCATGTGCTGCTTACCAACCATACATCCTTCACATACTCCTTCTTTTTCATCCAGTAGAGGCATGTCTCTCATCATCTTCTTTTGGTGTAGTAATCTCAAGGCATTGAGATTGAAGTGCCCAAATCTTCGATGCCATAGACTCGTATCACTCAGTTGAGCCACCATCGCCTTTTGTGGATATTGCCATTGAATAGGAAAATTTCTATTATTTCCCATTTTTACTTCAGCAATTTCTTGATGATTATTCTTGTCATAAATTCGGCAAGAATTTTTCTCAAAGTGCAAGGCATATCCACTTTCCATCATTTGGCCAACACTTAGTAGATTTTGTGCAAGGCGTGGCACTAGGAGAACGTTTCTAATAAAGCGCGTACCTTTCTTTGTATCTATGACAATGGTACCTTTCCCCTTTGCCTCCACCAAATCGCCATTGCCCATCTTGACCTTTGTCTTGATAGAGGTGTCTAAGTCATGGAAGATGGTCTCGTTGGATGTCATGTGATTGCTGCACCCACTATCGATGTACCACTCTTCTTCTTTTGGTTCTATGGCTGAGTGACATGCGTAGAACATGTACTCCTTCTCCTTAAAATCTTCAGAATAGTTGGCCTGATAGTTTCTTCTATCTCTGCAATCTTTTTCTTCATGCCCGAACCTCTTACAATTTCTGCATTGTGGCTTTCCTCGATGGTAGCAATCTTTCTCTAAGTGATTAGTCTTCTTGCATATTTTGCATGGAGGAAAGTTCGTCTTCCTCTCCTTGTTGTTAGAATTCCCATCTTTATGTGGTTTAAAGTTTTCACCATTTCTCGAGTGATTCCTTTTAATGTTGAGCTTAGACTGGAAGGCACTTTCTAATGAACTTTCGTGTCGTCTGTTCAGCCTTTGCTCACGTGCTTCTAGCAACCCCATTAATTCATTGATGGACATTTTTTATAGATCTTTTGACTCCTCAATAGCCGAAACTACTGGATCATATTTTTCAGGGAGACTGATTAGGACCTTCTGGATTATTCTCTCGTCGGTTATGTTTTCTCCAAGAGTTCTCATTTCGTTGACTATATGTATAACCCGAGAGAAATAATCTTTTGCCATTTCAGAATCTCTCATCTTTAAATTTTCGAGCTCTCTTCTTAAACTTTGTAATTTAATAGTTCTAACTTTCTCATTTCCTTGAAATTCCTCCTTAAGAATATCCCAACCTTCTTTTGGCGTAGTAGCACGAATTATTCTCGGGGAAATAGTATCACAAACGGATTGTTGAAGAAGATAGAGAGCTCTAGCATTTTGTTGTTTTTGTTTCTTACGTACCTCGGAAGTTGATGCGTCGTCGCTTCCTTTTTCCGGCATGATGATTCCTTCTTCAACAATATCCCAGAGATCATGTGATTCTAGGCAAGTCTTCATACGGACACTCCAATAGTCATAGCTTTCTCCATTGAACATCGGAGTTGATATCGAGAAGCTTGATGTCGCCATAATGCCCGCTTATGATCGAACAAGCTTTGATACCACTTGTTAGAAAATAGAAGAGGTTTTTGGTTGTATGAGTAGAATAAGTGATTTTAGTGAGGTGTAATGTAGATGATGTGTTTTAGATGAGAGCTCTTGTCTCTAGAAAAGTAGTATTGTAATGATGTGGTATCAGAGCGAAAATGGTGAACGGGGAGCTGCCGGTCGGCGGAAGGCTGTACGGCGTGCGGCCAGGTAGAGATTCACCAAGGTCGAAGTCCATAATCACAGCTGAGCTGCGAAAATGCCGAACGGGGAGCTGCCGGATGTCGGAAGGCTGGACGGCGTGCGACCGGGTGGTGCATCTACGTGTCTTCCACCCTAACTGCCGTTCATGCTGAGGGGAGGGGGGCTATGAGGAGCGCCTGACTATCGGTGCTGCTGCATGGGTTGCATGCATGGAATTGGCCGGTCGGCTCTCCCGCTCGGTGATGTGGGGCGTCAGACTGCCGGTAATCGAACAGTGAGTTCGAGTCCCTAATCCGATCGGCAAGTGCCGTTTGGGTCATACATGCACCAGTGGACTTCTTCCAAATGCAAATAGTCACAATCCAGGAGTGGAGCCCACTGGACTTATTGCCTCACGTGAAAGTGGCCAGCTAATTACAACTCAAGTTGGGCCTTGGCCCCACCTCCATGACTTATCTTCACGAATCTCAACATCCCTGAGATTTCGCGTGCGACTTCTAGCTCCGAGAAACGATACCCTTGCCGGCGACGGGCCCTGAGCTGGTCAAGCAGTGTTCTCCTGCCCATTCTCCAGGCTTGCTGAAAACTACTCCCTGTATGAAATCAAGCATTCTTCCGTATGCATTTTGCGTAGAACACATGCAAGATTCTCACAGACGGCGCCATTGTTGAGTTTAAGTCCAACATAAACTAATAGATATACATATGATTTGGTATAACACTATAACACTCGATTTTCACGTGGAAACCCGGAAAGGGAGAAAACCACAGGACTTTTTAGACTAACGTCCAAGCCCACTCTTTCTTATTTATCCTCTCCTCACCATTTACATAGTACAAGCTTTGAGCCCCATTAATGGAGGTTGAATAGCTAATCTACATAAATAAGAAGAAGCAGTAGCAGGGAGGAGAGAAGAAGCCATCCTCTTTAAGGAAGAGACCTCCTCATATTTATAGGAAGGAGGGGAATGCCCTCCCATACTAATAGGCCGAAAAGGCCTTATTGGGCCTAAACAATCCCTAAGTGGGGTGAGGGGGCCTAAATGGCTCTAAGTGGGCCTGAGGGGCCTAAATGGGCCTCACCAACTGGGCTCCATACCGGGGTGAAGTCTTGGGCTCCTGAACAGTAAGAGACCGGGGTAATATACCCCAACACGGGTGTTTGTATCTCACTCTTTCAAAATTTGGGATATTTAAATTACTTTCCCCTTTTCTTAATGTGTTCAACTATTTAAGACATAGGTGAAATAATATGAGGATATCATTATTAAGGGACAAAAGAGTATGATGATATGATGTGGTGATGAAAGCATTGGAACGACAATAGAGAATTCATTTTGTTGAACAGAGAAATGGAGTATGCGCGCACTTTCTTCTGCATACATGCATGTCTCCTAGTGTTTTCCCTGTGTTTGCGAGAGGGGAAGGTTATACAAGGATTTCAGTTGCTGGCTTATCAACCTGCTGTTATTTACCGCCATTTCGAGTTCCAGGCTGTCAGACCACCATTGCTCCAGTCCATGTGCTTCAAGAAACTTCTGCTTCCCTTTTGTAGCAGATAAGAAAAGTTTTGCAGTAACAGCTTGACTGTTTCTTGCCCTCTCATCCTCCTTCTCATCACCATCGCCACCAGATGACGATGTTGATGAATCAATGTAATAGCAACATATATAATCACTGTTGTTTATATACAGATGTGGTACCCATTGCCCCATCCCAATCTGCAAAGAGCTTGAAGATGGCAGGGTTGCCACAGATTTGACGAACTTTCTCCAAACCAACCAAACCTTTTCCCCGATATTCCTCAAATACATAGCCAGCGAAACCGACGGCGGGTTGAACAAATGTGCCTCAACATATATTCCTTGTTTGGCTAATGCTTTTCCCACTTGAAGAGCGAATCCCGCCCCTAGCGAATGCCCAGAAATGCACACATTGTTACTTCCGTACTTTGCTGCAAGAGCCTTCAGTGCTTTCTGGGTCACGCTGAACCTAACAGACCCCTTTAAGCTTTCCAAAGCTAAGTAGCGTAGATCCTCTTGGATGTCCCTTCTCATGGTTGGAGTCTTGAGGAGGGTTCCTCTTAGTGCTAGAACGGCACTTGGTGCACCGCTAGGTCTGATAAGAATGAGGTCAGATAATGCGGCTGCTCGGTCCCATTTCAGGACAGCCCCAAATATGGATCCATCCCTTTCATCTCTTAGCGTCTCCCCCAGTCTGTATTTGAAGGGTGACCACCATTTTGGGGCAAGAGCGTTTCCTGCTTCCCTGTTTTCTTGTCTGTCTAGCTCAAGCAAGTACACTGATTGTACCAAACAGGCCATCACTGTCCTCCTATAGTTCTCATTCTTCCTGTACACGTACACATGTATAAATGACCACTACCAGTGAAGTTACCAGATTATATCAAACTAATGAGCAAACACTGATCAGATGCACATAAGAATTCATTTCACTTCGGTCCCGTGACTATAAGGATTGCTACTTTTGGTCTTTGACATCCCTTTTTACACTTTTGATCATATTTTTTGTAATTTAAGGGCCTTCCAGCCACTTTTCTGGCTTCTTTCTATAATCTGTAGGGTTGATTTTACTACGGGAAAGTGGTCGGAAGGACTAACTAATAACAAGTATACAACCTTGGGACAAAGAGTGGGAAAATAAAAGTTGAAAACTAAAGTAGGAATCACCTTATAGTCCTCGGACCAAAAGTGGGATTAATAAGTTTTTACTTACCCTTGCATCTCTTTACCAAAACAAATTTTAGACGTTAATTTATTTCATAGGAGCTCTGCCTTCATATTCGTGTAGAAGGACTCGATCAAATCAACTCTATGAAAACATATGTTTTGTAGGCACCAACACAAAAACACAATATGATACTGTAACTCCGTAAGTGACTAGGTATTATATAGTGAAATGTAGATCACTATTTGTGTTTGGTATTTACTTTATCCTACCACATTCATTTGCAATAATGAGAAGCTTTTTCCTTGAGTTGTCTCTTCTCTCCCAAGAAAACTCTGGCTCAAACAATAACACTCTTTAGGTGTCATAGTTGGATTGTTCAATGTTTCTCTCACTTTTTCAGAAGCTTCCATAGAGTTCCCAGACAATACATACTTGTCTAGAGAACTAACTCCTCTACATGTTTATAATTTTCTAGAATTTTCTCAATTAAGGAGCACAGACATGCTTTTGGTTTGCGAAAACTGATGGATGCAGCTCACTTTTGATATCTAATTTTATTAAAAAATTATCATATTCCAGTTCAATTTTTATGATTCAATAGATAATTCAGTAAATACATAAATGTTAAGCTTTTGTTCTAATAACAATTTTGTAAGGAAGAAGTTAGATTCTAAAGGAATTTCTTCAATTTAGGACCTAAAAGATAGGTTATATCAATCTAGTACCTGAAAGATGAAAGTGTTGGACCAGGGGCCTCAATTGAAAGCTATCAAACAAAAAACTAAAATAACATAAATTTTGATTTCTTTCTTTTTTATTCATTTTGTTGTTAAGTTTTGATGATTTCTTTTCCACAAAATTTATTAGTTTAGTCAAGTTAAAAAAACATTCACAGCAAAAAAGAAGAAGTTAAAAAAATTCAAAATATTTAACATTTTGAAAAATAAAATTCGTGATATTTTAGGTCATGGATCGGTATTTTTTATTTTTGAATAATTTGGAGCTACATATAGATAATTTTCACCTGTCATGTATCTTCCTGAAAATACTAAGTTTTTTTCCGGAATAATGCTAATTAAATAAATTATTCCTGAAATACTGCCGTATTAAGAATAATTCCCAAAATACTGCTTGAATTAACCACGATTAAGGAAAGTCGTCACTCCAAGTGGCGGCTCTTGTATTACTTCACAAAAACCGCCACTCCGAGTGGCGGCTCTTCTCTTATAGTACAAAAGTCGCCACTTCAAGTGACGGCTCTTCTCTTACGTCCCATTTTGTACATATATAAAACGCAGTATGTTTCAAGAATTTGTTTAACTGCCTTCCCGATTGAATTTTGAGCTGAAATTTGGTATGCATATACTAGACTTGATGAGGAACATTCTCAAAAAAATCATCAAAAAATTCCACCGGAAACACCCTCTGATGGTGTTGTCCAAGGGGGGTTTCGATCAGGACGTTTTGCTTACTTTTTTTGTGTATGTTATTCATCAAGTCTAGTTAATCCATATCAAATTTCAGAACCAATCTCAATCGGGAAAGCAGTCAAATGATTTTTTAAAGATAACTGCGTTTTATATGTATAATTCGACGCAGTTATCTTTCAAAAATCATTTGACGACCTTTCGGATTGAATGTTTTGCTCAAATTTGGTATGACTAAACTAGACTTTATTAGGAACATAAACAAAAAATTTCATCAAAACATACCATGGAAAAAACTCGAAAATACTAAAATCACTATCATTATTACACAAACAAACCTGGACGGGTAGCTCCACTAGTTTGAATCAAGGACAAAAAAATCTCTGTGATCACTAGTTCCATTCTAACAAAGTAACAAGGGCTGCTAGATCTGATTGTTAATTTTAGTTTAAATGGGATTAGATGGTCAAAATGGTCCAAACACCCAGGATAATATAAATAGAAACTTGCCAAACAAAGATTATCTAGTAAAACCAATAAGGTAAAACAAAATCACGAAAGGACAAGAAATTGTTAGATCAATGACCAGAATCCAAATGGAGAACATATATAGAGCATCTATCAGAAAATGGGAAAGTATACATACCAGCTGGAGTTGATGAGGTCTCTCCAATTGGGAGAAGAAAGGTTTCGCGGTCCTGAAGCTTGGAATGCATATGGATGAGAATCTTTACTGCTCATTTCCCCACTGATCTTCGCCATACCCATGCGTTTCCAACCCAAACACATTCATGGTTATAAGTATTGATCAAGAGCACCAGCATCTTTGCTCTGAAGAATCGAAACACCTCTTTCCAGATCGTTTAAAGGCAGGAATCGTAGCTGCGAAACTAAAAAAGCCTAATAAGGATGGATGGTCGAAAACTATCTGTTGTGGCTTAGCTGTGTCCTTTCTTAGCTGTTCATTTTTTTGTTTTTTCTTATTTGGTACTACCTCAGTAACCATAGAATCTTCTCACTTTGACTCTTTTGAGTCAAATTTTATAAACTTTGACCATTAATTATTAAAAACTCACATTATGTTATGATTAAAAATTTATTTCATATACCTCATTGTAAAACATATTATTTGAATGCTAATTCATTATGAATTTTATACATATAGATATGTAGATATTTAGATTCAAAGTTCAACTTAGAAGACCGTGAAAAGTCAAAATGAGAAGATGTTTATGTTACAGAGGTAGTAAATGATACGGAGTACGATTTTGTAGAAAAGTAATTAAATAAACTAATTTGGTTAAAAGGAGAAGAAATAGAAAATTTAGAAAAAATAGACATATAAAATAAAGTAATTAAAAGGAGTGAATTGAGAGAAGGGAAATTGTGATACTTGACAATTGACATGTAATGAGTAGGAAAGACAAATTTAAGTGTAGGTGTAATTAAAAAAAGTAAATTATTTCTAAAATGAAATGAAAACTTTTAAATGAGACATCTAAATAAGGAAAATGAGAATTTTTCAACGAAACAGATGGAGTATTACTTTCTAAGATTTTGTGTGGATTGACATGAGTTTTGGACCTTTTTTATGTTCTCAAACAAATGTTTATCAACCAAATTATAGATGCAATTTTACATTTTAATACTTCGTATTTTTTGTTACGGTAAGAGTTACTACTTTCATCCTATATTGAATGTCTTTAGTTTGATACAATTATTAATAAAGTGATTGAAAAGAAAAAATGTTGTGGTTGATGTTTGATTAGAATAGAGTGAAATTATATGCACCACATATTTCTTACCAAATAAGGAAATATGCAGGGGCGGATGTATGCTAGGCCAGGGGTGGGCTTCAGCCCAGCCCAATTTTTTTTTTTATAGTTATGGTACATTTTCAAATCTCAATCCAGCCTAAATTATTTGTCAGCTCACCCCACAAATAATTTGTGAATCAGTGAAGTTATGAACTTCTGCCGTGAATTTGTAAACTGTGATTAACTAATTGTGTATTAAACTATTAATGTATTAATTATTATTATTTTTAGCATTTTAGAGTTTTAGGGCTAGGGAATTATACAATCGTTTTGATTATTAATTGAATTTTTCAGTACATAATTAAATAGTTTTATTTTTTATATATAAGTATTTTAATATATACCAACATTGAAAATGTTTTTTAGAATGGATAATGAACATGTTGCCAAGAAGGGAAAGAAGTTGATTTCATCATTCTTTTCGAAAGTGAATCGTCAAACTGGTGAAGGGAGTTCTGAACCTATACCTACAACAGTGCAAGATCTAGTCAATGAGGATCCTCCACATGTTGTAGTCCCTGAAATCCAAACTATCTCAAATTTGGATTTCAATGCTCGATAGACATGCTCGAATGTAGAAGTTTAGACTATTCTCGTTAATAGATTCATGTTCAAATTACTCAATAAGTATTCAAATTTTTATTAATCATTAATAAATTTATAAAAGCTGCACTAAAACGTTTAAATTTTATGATATGTACAATAGTATAATTTATATGTGAACGATAGGCTCGTGTTCGGATCGAAACATCACTATGTTCGATCTCGGCTTGAATAATTATTCAAACTCAAAACCTACTCCGTGTTCGAGTTCGAAACTTGTTAAACTCAATTCATTAAATTAGATTGGAAATCAAGCTCGAACTCGAGTATATAATTCAAAAAAATCTTTGTTCGATAACAACCCTGGGCTAAATTTGGTATGTATAGTAAAAAAAATTACTTCTGCTTAGTCCACCCCCATCTCTCGATCCTGGATCCGCCCCTGGAAATATGGTATTTATTTTGGAATAAACCAAAAAGGAAAGTACACTACTAGAAAAACAGCTTACATTGACACTTGTTTAGTGATACTATGATGACACAAACACATTTATGACGCTTGTATATCAGAAATTATTGATACTATTACATCAAGATATAATAGTGACACTCCGATCGACCCAATTATTTATTTAAATTTAAATTTTTAATAAAATCATAACCATCTATGACTAAAATGAGATAGAAAAGTGGATATGAGATTTTTTTCAAAAGCATTAATCAAACCATTCAAATAATTACATATCTATGACTAAAATAAAAATTGTTTACGAAACAAATGTGACTCGTGAGTTAAGCATCTTTCCTAACACTCTCAGCGCCCTCCCCCTTTCCCATTTGTCTTTCAAGCTAATATGTGGTTTCTATCATCTCCTTAATCCACATCGACTTTCTTGAGCTAAGCATCCTATTTTCCTTAAACATTGTGATTTTGCTAAGCTTGTTAATCACATCCAGGGATTTCACCAAAATATATTTGAATTTTCATGTTCTCAAATAATGATAAGAAGAACAACGACATACCTTGTTATGATAGAACAAGGAAATAATTAATAATATCTCCGTCTTGCCAAATGACTTTTCGTGATCAATGATGACAAACTTTGAACAATGATTTTTATTAAATATTTGTATATAAGTTATAAATTTTATACTTTCATGAAAATATTTTGAATAAGAAAAATTTTGATAAACTTTTATATTATACATAATTTCGTATTAAATAATATCATTAGTCAAAATTGATTGTCATTGATCAAGAAAAGTCAATTTGATGAACCTTTTCGGGACGGAGGGAGTATGTATAAATTTGAATGCTATAAAAGATTCTTAATTAAAAAGGTGAAAATTTGTATGCGTGTATGAGTATCTGATTCATAAATAAGCATTAAATTTCTCTTACTCATGGTCCCTTAGAATTCTGCTTTAGTACATTGAAGGTGCAAAACGGCCGAAGGGAGTTCATTTTCAAATGTTTTAAAATACCGTTTAACATCAAAATATCTAAAATAATCTTATACATACATAGACACACACACATTCATATATACAAATGTATATATAATATAATATAATATAATATAATATAATATAATATAATATAATATAATATAATATAATATAATATAATATAATATAATATAATATAATATAATATAATATAATATAATATAATATAATATAATATAATATAATATAATATAATATAATATAATATAATATAATATAATATAATATAATATAATATAATATAATATAATATAATATAATATAATATAATATAATATAATATAATATAATATAATATAATATAATATAATATAATATAATATAATATAATATAATATAATATAATATAATATAATATAATATAATATAATATAATATAATATAATATAATATAATATAATATAATATAATATAATATACGGAGTGATATAATATAATATAATATAATATAATATACGGAGTAATATAATATAAGACGTAACATAATATAATATTGAAAGCATGTTACCTGTGTCAGGTCATGGTTCTTCGTAATAAAGCAAAAAATTATCCTAAAAAGAAGTAAAAACATTTGTAAATTTCAAAATAAGAATTTCATATTTTACTCCCCATATAGGACTAATTGATATCATAATTTGGTATTATCATACTTTAAAGTTTAAACATGATAGTATTTTCCAAACTTGACAGTAATTACTTATATTTACGAAATCAATACATGACAATCATATTTTGAAATTTCAAAACATTTTTATTCTTATTTGGGAATTTTTCCTAAAAATTTTGTATGCATTGTTTACAAATTTAAGGAAAATACATCTTCAGAAAAGTTTTTGCATTTGCACAAGTCCGTTTGAATACATTATCAGCATGTTTGATGACATTGTTTTTCAACTTTTAAGCCTTATTAGTCAACTTTATTACCAAACATGTAACTTTTGATTTCGCAACGTTAAATTGTGTAATAATCAAAATAAATAAGGTTATAGTTAGTTTTCTGGTTGAATTAGTTGAAGTTGCAATAGAATATTATTTGATGAGTGGTGTCCGTTATTTTTTCTCTAATATATCTTAACTTAATATTTAGAGAGAATTCCCTAAATAGGATTAACAGAAAGTAGAATTGCAAAAATAGAACCACTATGTTTTGTTTGACACAAATAGGACTACAAAGAGCTAATCTGACAATATTACTCTTAATGAAATAAAAATAAAAAATGTCGATGCACTTCCTTCGATGATGCCTTTCAACAAAGCCTCCAGACCCCCTACACCAACAATACCTCTGCACCAGTCGTCATCGCCAAGACCATCACTGCCGCCACTACCCAACAAGGAGCTATCGCTGACACCGGCGAGACCACCGTTGCACACAGCCGATAAGAACGCACATCATGCTAGATGGCTTACCTCGCCTTCTAGTGAGAATCGACTAACTCCTCTGGAGAGTATCTTATCAATTTCAGGTGAAATTGTCATCGTCATAACATCAAAGACAAAACATGACATTTTTAGATGCAAAAACATGTCATTTTTGAGATTACAACATTACATTTTTAGATATAAAAACATGTACTTTTTAAGATTACAACATGACATTTTTAGATGCAAAAATGTCATCATTTGTCAAAAATGTCAAAATCATGGAACTTTCAAACATATAGAGCCCGTTTGGTGACCCTTTTTTTCGGCTTATCAGACTTATCAACCATCTTTTTCACCAAACACGTAATTTTTGACTTCGCGCGTTGAAGTTTGTAACAAGCAGAAAAAGTAAGGTTGGAGTTACTTTTCTGGCTGTTTTGGCTGAAGTTGCTGTAGAGGATCATTTTAGCTATTTTTCATATAATTTTTTATTTAATTTATTGATAACAAATATTTAAAATATAATTTTTTCATGAATCAGCAGAATCAGCCAATACAGCCACTTCAGCCAGAACTTCATAAATTCCAGCAGAATCAGCCAATTCAGCCAATTTTAGTATTACCAAACGGGCTCATAATATTGTCATCTCCAAAAAATTGCCATTATGTCTCCAAAAATTGCCAATCATGTGACATTTTTTAAAAAGTTGATAGATGAACATAACAAAAAAACTAGACCGAAATAATTTCGAATAATTGATAGAGCCTTGAATTTCAAATCCAAAATTTTAAATAAAAAATATGACTGAAGAAGAAAGGAGTATAGAGCAGAAGAGAAGGAAAAGGATAAGAGGGAGAAGGAGAAGGAGGAAAAGAAGAGGAAAGAAGAAATACTTACCTGGAGATATGTCGACCTGAGTAGTGGAGCGGGAAGCGAAGATGACCTGCAGACATGGGAGAGATCTGGGGCGATCGAGGAAGAGGAGACAGAGATCGGGAGAGATCGATAAGGTTTGATATATTAGGGGTAATATGGTAATAGGGAGTCCTATTTAGGGAATTTAAAACATTAAGTCCTAAGTTGGAATATTGACTATGTTTTACTCCTAATTAGATCAATTTCTTTAATATTTATTGTATGAACTTATATTTTATGATACTAGCTTATTGCACTCCTATATTTCAAAATTTAAATCCTAAAAAGTTTTTAATGTTAATACTTCTTCTTTATTTAAAAGTTTGATATACTTTTCGATTTGGGATGCATTTAAAAGTTTGCTACACTTTCTTATTTTGGTAAGTTTCTTATTTAAAAATACTCAATTTCCTTTTTTCTACTTTTATCTTCTATTTGCTTCCTTTTTACATTCTTTTCTACTTTTTCTACACTATTCATTACCTCACTTCCCCCTTAAATTAGTTAAATATTGTGTCAATGCCTAATGTAGTGGACTTTTAATCACGAATGAAGTATTTAATTAGATCATGATTAAAAATATATGCACCAACTGCTCTTTCCTGTTCGTATACACGAGTACTATACTAGTTGTCTTGAAAAACGAATAGAAAACACTGGTAATAGTCATTAGAATGCTTTTTTAAAGCAACATGTTTTTTCATAATATGTGTGAGTACACAACACTAGTAATATTTTTTGAAATCACATGTTTTTTTATGATTTATAGATCAAAGTTAGCATGAGAAACGTATTTATGTTTGAAAAAATTTATGATACCTAAAAGTAAGTTATAAAACACTAAAAACGTGAAAAATGATTTTCCTAAGTTAATAAAAAAAATATATGTAGTATTGTTCAACATACATCTTTACATAAATATCGAAAAAATATTTAGTTTTCTTTTTCTAAATTACCCCAATCGAATACCCGAACACGAAACAAATAAAAGATGCAGTGCAGCGCTACACATCTCCGTTTTGAAATATGCCAAAAAATGAGTCTCCAACTTAGGAATAAAATCAGAAACATGTATCTATTTTTCAATTTTGGAGAAAAAACAGGTAAACTTGTTTTCTAGTTTCCTGAAAAACGGGAAATATATTCTTGTCAGTAAATAGGTCGTAAGTGTTTGGGTACAACAATCGACGATATCCGACTTTGCACCTCATTTTCAATATCATTAATATTTGTACTCCATCATTAATATTATACAAAAACGTAATATAATAGAGTGAAGTGCAAAATTAAATGATTTTAAAGTGAAATGAGGTGAAAATATTTTCAAAATATGATGTATAATACAATATTACTCGAAAAAATGGATGCAAAGTCGAATACTCCCTCTTTGCATAGGCATATTAGGTGAAAAACGCAATTTTGGAAATCTATGGAGCAATAGAAAAATTTAGAATTTCACCCCAAAACAGCTAAGGAATCATCTTGTCGTCAAACTGGCAATCGTTGGCGATCGGATTACCTACTCCGGCTAGGCGTTAACGATGGCCACAGTGTCCGTGGCGGCCGAATGGCAGCTTCTCTATAATCGTTACTACAGGAAACCGGAGATCTATCAGATGCAATGGAAGAACGTGGACCTAACGCGCAACAAGGTCGCTTGTTCCCCCTTCGGCGGCCCTATTGCCGTTATCCGCGACGACGCTAAGATCGTTCAGCTCTACGCCGAGTCCGCTCTCCGTAAGCTCCGCATATTCAATTCCGCTGGTGTCTTGATCTCTGAGGCCGTCTGGAAGAACCCTGGCGGCCGTCTCATCGGCATGTCCTGGACCGACGACCAGACGCTAATCTGCATTACGCAGGATGGAACCGTGTACCGTTATGATATTCACGCAGAGCCTCTGGAACCACTGTCCCTCGGCAAAGAGTGCTTCACGAACAGTGTGGTGGATTGTGTCTTCTGGAGTAACGGTGTTGTTTGCATCAACGAGGCGTTTCAGGTATTTTGTATACCTGATTTCAAGAATCCGAACCCAATCCAGCTGGCAGATGCTGGTTTGGAGGACGTTCCGCTCTCTATGGCAGTGATCGAGCCCCAGTATACCATGTCTGGAAATGTGGAAGTGCTGATGGCCGTAGGGGATCACGTGTTGTTGGTGGAAGATGACGGGATTCAGCAGTTGGGGATTGGAATTGGCCCATTGCAGAAGATGGTGGTTTCACAAAACGGGAAACTGCTCGCATCTTTTACACATGATGGGAGGCTTCTTGTCATGTCAACGGACTTCTCGAATATCATTTTTGATTACACTTGTGAGGTTGTTATTCATTTCTCAGTTCTTATATATTCATAGTATGCTTTTTTCAATTTCCAGAGTTTACCCTCAGAAAGTTATCCACATTATGTAAGCTATACCTATTTCTCCTGAATTCCAAAGTATTAAAGGTCCTAAAATTGGTGCCACTGGTGGCATTGTCTGATAAATGAAAGTTATTGTTGGGCTTTTGGCCAAACATTGGAAGTAATTCTGGCAGCATACTTTGCAGCTTTGCCCCCACCCCCAACAATAACATAAAAGCCTTTTCATTTTAGATGTCCTCGATCTTAATACAGGAATCAATATTACCTGATCCCATTTCTTTATTGTCATTAGTTGAAGCATACACTTTATCATTGTTGCTATCGTCTCATTTTGTTGTATGTAGTCAGCCTTACCTCCTGAGCAGCTGTCTTGGTGTGGAATGGATAGTGTTTTGCTTTACTGGGATGATATGCTTTTAATGGTGGGTCCTCATGGAGATCCAGTACGCTACATCTATGATGAACAAATTCTGCTGATACCAGAATGTGACGGGGTTAAAATACTGTCCAACACAAGTATGGAGTTTCTTCACAGGGTGCCAGATTCCACTGTCTCCATCTTTCAAATTGGGAGCACACTTCCTGCTGCTTTACTTTATGATGCACTGGATCATTTTGACAGGAGGAGTGCCAAGGTATGCCCTCCTTGATGTCTCTTATTCTGGTGTCATATATGCTTTTCATGTATTTGCACCTTCTACAAGATATCTACTTGTAATTTTGCTTACTAATATTCATATTTGCCGGTTAACTGTTAAAGTTTTAGATATCTACTTGTAATTTAGCTTACTAATATTCATATCTGCCGGTTAACTGTTAAAGTTTTAGATTTAATTCTCCATTAAAAGTATGGCATGTTAAAGAACATTTTGCAGTCATATTGCACATGGGAATCCCCATGAAGTTGTATGTCAACTGCTCCTTATAATAGTTGATTAAACTGCCTTTTTCAGAAATTAATATGGAGTATGTATATTGTCAAGCTACATTAAGAACTCAACATCATTAGGTTCTAAATCAAAAGCTCTTATAGTCTTATATGTGATCATTTTTATTTGAGATTTTGAGTCAAAGGCGTGTTGCAAGATTGTTGTACATACCATAGTATCTTCTTACAGTACTTGAACATGCCAAATGCATCATCGAGGATAGATAAAAATAATTTTTGTGCTACAATAATAAATAATTAGAAGGAAAGTGTTACTGAAATGGGGTTTCACAAAATTCTAATGCTTCACGTTCACCAGGCAGATGAAAATTTGAGGTTAATCCGCCCTTCATTGCCTGAGGCTGTTGAAGCGTGTATAGATGCAGCAGGCCACGAATTTGATATTTTGCAGCAACGAACCTTGTTAAGAGCTGCAAGCTATGGTCAAGCATTTTGCAGGTTGGTAGATTCGATTTAGAAAATTTGCCTTCTTAGGGGTCTTAATGAAATCAGCTGGCCTTCTAAAAAGGGTTTACATGCTCTCACTTATCTTCTTCCGTTTATGCTCAGCCGGTTTGTTTAATGGATGCATCATTCTTTAATAGTTGGTTGATATTGAATAGTCCCCTTGTCTGTGCAAATATTCTTTTAGGGAAATAGGTTTGTTCCCCTAGACACCAAACATTCAAAGAGTTAATTCCCTAAACAGGACTAAAACAATTAAGAGGCCGTTTGACAACATTGTTTTTCGGCTTATATAGCTTTTTCACCAAACACGTAACTTTTGTTTTCGCGCGCTGAATGGTGTAATAAGAAAAAGTAAGGTTGGAGTTACTTTTCTGGCTGTATTGGCTGAAGTTACTATAGATGACCATTTTAGCTATTTTACATATAATTATTTTCTTTATTTTATTGATATTTTTTTTTTAAATAATTTCTTAAATCAACAGAATCGGCCAATGCAGCCACTTCAGCCAGAACTTCATGAATTTCAGTAGAATCAGCCGAATCAGCCGATTTTCGTGTTACCAAACGGACTCTAAGAAATGCACAAATAGGACCTCCATGTTTCATAGGACTAAAAATGTATTGACTTTACAAAATTACCCTCAATAAATTTCTAAATCTATTTACAATTAAAAAAATCAAAAAATAAAAAACTATCTAAAACCCTAGGTTCCACAGCTGCCTCCAGCACTCCAAATGTAGCCACCACTTCCGGAGCTGCCATTTCTGGCGCTATCGCTGTCACTTCCGGCGCCGGCGTCACTTCTGGCATCACTGCTAGCGCCATCACCGCCGGTGATGAAAATGCCACCTTGCTGCAAAAACAATTATTGACAACATAAAAACATAATTCTGCCATCTTTTATAAAAAGTTAACATAATATTGACAGTTCCTATCATTATATTTGGCAGTTCTTCGAAGAAAATAATATTTTTCTGCCATGATATCATATGAAAATATGCCATATACTTGGCAATACTTTTAAATCGATGTTAAAATACAACTTTTCTGCCATAACATATTACATGAAACTGCTAGAATTTTAGCAAAAAATGAACTCAACACCCATAATCGAGAAAACCAAAGTTTTTAATAAAAACAGACATTTACTGAAATCAGAAATCTGAACTACGAAATCTCCCATAATATATTAGTCAATTCTACCAAAAGATTGGCAATACAAATTAATGTTTAAATTAAAAGTTTTTCTGCCGTAATATAATATTGAGTACTACATGAAACTGCCCAAAAAGTTGGCAAAAATGTAAAGTCAATATTCCAAATCTGAAAAATCCGAATTTTTATCAAAATTGGAAATTTAACGATATCAGAAATCGGAAACTTGAAGCCGATGTCCACAAAACAGAAAAGTCAATGTCCAACTCCAAAAAACTTCATGAAACCAAAAAATATTTACTAAAACAGTAAAATCAGTGATGGAAAACATGTTGTTAACCGCGAGGATTAGAGAAGAAGAAGTCGAAAAGAAGAATAAAAAAAGGAGGAGAAGAAGATAAAGTAGACAAAAAGGAAAGAAGAAGATGAAGAAGAAAGAGTAGGAGGAACTTGGAATCGCCGGTGAGACTTGAGAGGGGTGCTGCGTAGGAGTAGGAGTGCTGCGCAGGAGGATCCATGGCTCGGCTTAGGAGTGCTGAGCAGGAGGAACCGTGAGCGAGGCTTGCTGCGTAGGAGAAGAGCCGCAGAGGAGGAGAAGAGACGCAGACGTACGTGAGGTAGAATTGGAATTAGGGTTTTGATGTTATTATATAGGAGGGCATAATGGTAATTCGGAGTCCTATTTAGGGAATTAAAAACTTGTAGTCCTATTTAGTGAATTAAGTTTAGTTTTAGTCCCATATAGGACAATTACTAAACATTCAATTGATACATAGAGATGGCCCAAACTACTTTTGGAGAAGTGAAACTGTAAATATCAAAATATTCCATTGAAATTGACACTGCTCTTTCCTTTTTTCTGTTGCTCAACATATTTTATTCTGTACATCACGTGTCAATATTAATGATACCATCTACACTTAATTGTTGTCTCTAAAAGCACCATTAGAGTACTTGATCAACCATTTGATTGGGAGGTCTTAGAGCTACAATGTGCACGGTGCACATGTGGCATGAAAGAGATACACACAAAAGATTAAATTTATGACATTTCTCTCTCCTTCTTTTCACGGTTTTATGTGTTTTTGGTAAGTATTTCTCAACAATGTCAACCACAATGTCTACATCTACACATTGTGCTTGACATTGTGGAGAAAAACTTACCAAAAACATACAAGACCATTTAAATAAGGAGAGAGATATTCTATTTGTTGTTTTTTAATTGGCTATCTCACATGCCACGTATGCACCGTTCACGTTTTTGCATTGAAGATGCTCTTACCTTCTTTCAACTTACTTTTGAGGGGCGCCTTATGGGCTTATGGCCTTCATCAATGTTACACTGTTGCATCATGTGTTCTAAAGAGACTGTTCTTCTCTGATTTCTTCTCTTGTTAACTGCACCCAGTTGACTTTGGCAGCCATTTTCAGCGTGATCGAATTCAAGAGATTTCTAAAACCCTACGAGTTCTAAATGCTGTACGCCACCCAGATATTGGCATTCCTCTCAGTATTCAGCAGTATAAGGTACTTTTGTGTGTGTAAGGTTCGCAGTCGCATCTGAGTCGTGTACTTGCACTAAGTGATTCTTTGGTTTGTGCTGCAGATGCTTACACCTTCAGTTCTAATTGCTCGTCTAATCAATGCTCATCGTCACCTTCTTGCACTACGAATATCAGAATATCTTGGTATGAATCAGGTAATTTGTCCTTACAATCCTTATTGAAGATATTACATATTTGCTCTGCTTGTTATATTTTGTCTGTGATCTGTAGATATGAAACACTATCATTTCATTACGGGTTTAAGTCTCTTTATTCCTTTGCGATTTCAATCTTGTCTTTGCAGGAAATTATAATTATGCACTGGGCATGTACAAAGATAACAACATCTTCTGCAATCCCTGATGATTATCTTCTGCAAATCCTACTTGATAAGGTTCGTTTTTTTCTCTGTGGTCTCCTAAAAGAGGATTGAAATCGTAATTTCCTTGGTTTGCTCTTTGCATAGGTATGATTCACCAGTGGCCCATAACATCTAATAATCTAATGGTTTTGTTGTTGATGTTGCCATTTTTAGCTTAAGTTATGCAAAGGCATATCTTATGCCGCAGTTGCTGCCCATGCAGATAAGAATGGTCGACGTAAATTAGCTGCTCTGCTTGTCGAACATGAACCTCGCTCATCTGAACAGGTTTGCTTTTGTTATCTTCTTTGTTACTTTCATCGCTATTTAGAATTTGAGTTATCTTCCCCCATTGCCATGATCTGAATCTTAATTGGAATCATATTGTTTTATTCATTTTCTTATACGATGTTGAAAGCACCTCTTTATTTTTTTTTGGGGGGGGGGGAGGGGGTATATAAAGAAAGCTAATGATTTAACCATATTCTTTCAGGTTCCACTATTGCTAAGCATAGGAGAGGAAGATACTGCTCTCACAAAAGCAACTGAAAGTGGGGACACAGATCTAGTTTACCTAGTCCTCCTTCACATTTGGCACAAGGTATTTACGAAGTCTTAAAGGAGCAGTTATTATGTGTGTTCTGTCTACGGTTACTTGCAGCTCTTTAGTTACTGATCAGTATCCATTGCTTATGGCCTGTTACCTTAGAGATCAGCTTTGGAGTTCTTTGGAACTATACAGTCCAGAACACTACCTCGTGATCTATTTATCAGTTATGCGCGGTAAGAAAATGCAACATTGGACTCACCCCGTGTTCAGAATCTTTTTCTCGAGATCTCTATTAACATTTCCCCTACCTCGTATCATGGGGATTTTATTTAGGCTTTACAAGCATGAATTTTTGAAGGACTTCTTCCTATCTACCGGACAACTACAGGTTAGTCAATATCCCCTTTTCTGTACAAAAAATTGTTCCAAATGATTAAATATAACAGAAAGGATTTCCAATGATTCATCATTAATGTAATGGAGTGATTAACGATTCTGTATTACTTGTACTATCACCGTCGTATTCTTTTCTTTCTCAGTAGTTGGAACTTTGATAAGGCCCCTCTTTGTAAACCATGAGAAGGTTATTTGTAAGCTCTGAGCTACTGTCTACTTTAAAAAAGTGATTTTAGAGAAAGCGTTTAATAGTAAAAGTTGGTAGTGTTTGAAAAAAAGTGCTTTTGAAAAAGTTAAAGTTGGTAACGTTGGGTAAAAATGTTCTTTTTGTGTAATAGAAAAAGTGAAAAACGGTTTAAAGCACCCCCATCTGCTTTCAGCTTCTTAGCTTTTAAGTGTTTAATTTAAGCCAAAGCTGTCTCTTGAAAATACTATACTTATTTCAACTGTTTTAAGCCAAAAGCAGAAAAACACTTTTTAAGTTTTTGCGAACACTCTCTAAGGAGGGCTGATATTTTTGACAAATCTCATTAGAGATGATCATTTTTTATCATTGAATCCTACAATTTTTATTAAAAAGGTTTCAACTCTCAGGATGTAGCATTTCTTCTATGGAAAGAATCATGGGAATTGGCAAAGAATCCAATGGCAAGCAAAGGATCTCCACTACATGGTCCTCGAATAAAAATAATTGAGAAGGCGCATAGCCTTTTTGCAGAAACAAAAGAACATGTCTTTGAATCCAAGGCAGCCGAGGAGCATGCAAAATTATTAAGGTGTTTCATTAGTGTATATTAAGTACTACCTTCATCCCCCTAAGTTTGGGACAAAAGTGAGTTGCGCAGTTTTTAAGAAAAGTCGACTTATGCAGTTGATGTTGATTTGGTAAAGTGTAAATAAGTAAGAATGAATTAGAACCACGCAAATATGACTAAATATGGGACAAAAAAGGGAAAATGGGACAATCGCAGGGGGATGGAGGAAGTAGTAAATATTCTTGCCTATTTGATGGTCTTTACTTCATCCACTCGAACCAAGGATAAGCAACTTAGTTGATGGTTCTCATATTATTATTTTGTTAAAAATCACAACGCCGTATTTGTGGAGTCATAGCCATATAAGCACGGAGATCGACTATAAGATGTTGTCATTGCAATCCAATCAGACTTGTTGACAACATAATCCAGGCATCCAGCACATAGTATTATTATATACAATGACGTGGAATAGACTCCCAACAAATCATATATCAAAGTATCTTGGCAGGATACAACATGAGTTGGAGGTCACAACTAAACAGGCCATCTTTGTGGATTCAAGTATTAGTGATACAATCCGTACATGTATTGTGCTTGGGAATCATCGTGCTGCGATGAAGGTCAAAACAGAATTCAAGGTCTGTATCTTTCTTATGTAGTGTACCTACTCAAGGTCGTTGTCTATTTTGACATCACACTATTTGTATAATAGTGTCAGGTCCCAAGAAGTTGGCATATTGCCTTTTCGGATCTGGATCCATAAGAAAAGCCTGTTTGGTTAGTCTTAATGAGTGGAGTGACTTTATCTGCTAAAAATGCTGAAGTTGTGGCTGAAATGTGTAAATCTGCTAATTATTTTCAAAATGCATAAAAACTTGTATTGAAATTAATTAAAGAAAATAATATCTTAAAATAAAGCTCAAAATACTAATTTCATCAATTTCAGCAAAGAAAAGAACTTTTTGTACTTTTTTCATTATTACTACTTCCTCCGGTTCTTATTTAAGTTCTTAGTTTGACTTCACACATATTAAGAAAATGAATTTGACATTACTGTGGAGTGCACTGTTTGGACACTGTTTGACACTGTTTGGCACTGTTTTGTTTCCTAAAATGGAAGTGTGAACTTAAATAAGGGACATCCCAAAAAGGAAAGTGGGAACTTTAATAAGAACCGGAGGGAGTACGATTTAGCTAGTGCAGCGATAATAGTTGGTCATCATTGAAAAACTTGATAAGCAAAAAGGAAAGCCTACCAAATTGTCCTGAAACATTCATATATCTGATGTTGTGACTATGGAACTGTTAATCTTATCCAGGTATCAGAAAAGAGGTGGTATTGGCTAAAAGTTTTTGCTTTTGCAACTGTGAGAGACTGGGATGCTTTGGAAAAATTCTCAAAAGAGAAAAGGCCGCCAATTGGTAAGTTTTCAAGGTTATGGTATGTCCAGGTTAAGCAGGAGACATTATTATCAACTTAATGGTGGAAGTTTCTGGAGTTTCATGTTTTAAGTATTGCTGCCATTTCATCTTATTTCTATCATAACCATCTCTCTCTACACACTCTGAGCTAAAAGTTGAACTTTGATCTCTAAGCTTGTAGAATTGTTGAGTTGAGGATGTGTTTTAAAAGACCCTCTTCCCGTCTTATTTATTTCTATGTATAGGCTACAAACCATTCGTTGAGGCATGCATTGGAGCGGATGAGAAGGGTGAAGCACTCAAATACATACCTAAACTGGCTGATCCCCGGGAAAGAGCTGAGGTAAAAAAAACAAAGTGCCAGAAATTATTCTGGAGAGTACGACATAAAAGCAAATTTGGCAAAAAAATAAAAAGACCTTGGCCATACTCTCTTTTTAGTTGTTTCTTCTGATTGACTTGTGAACAGGCTTACGCTCAAATTGGAATGGCGAAAGAGGCTGCAGATGCTGCATCTCAGGCTAAAGATGGTGAACTGCTTGGGCGGCTGAAGATGACTTTTTCACAAAATGCTGCTGCTGCTGCAATTTTTGACACTCTTCGAGATAGATTGTCCTTCCAAGGCATTTCATAATCAGTGTGTCTCCTTTCTAAAAGCGTGAGCTGTCAATGTTTGTGTGTTTCCTGGAAAATTACTTCTTTTTGGGGGGACAGTAAATTTGATCAGTGTCTTTTGGGATTGATAGGGTTTCGCTAATTCTCAGGCTCAACCATTGAAGTGATGAAGCCATTTATACTTTGCTAGGTTGAGTCTGAGGCAAGCCTCATCCCATTATTGTCCGGGTGTGCGTTTTGCTATGTCCATGTGTATATATGCCAGCACGGAAGACACGCCAGCTAGCAAATGAGTGTATTTTATGATTCATTCAGCCTTCATAGTTTTATGGAGTTGTAGTAAGCAACAATAAGTAACAACTGATTCTGAAATGAATTTTAAGTTTGTTCTGTGCCAACAGCTGCGGTAATACAGAGGATGCAAGCGTTATCCAGAATGATTGGGCGTACTATTGGGTGTACTACCTGTGTTACAGTCCTATTTCATTTGTCTTTCTTTTCTTTTTAGGTTTTCCCAGGGTATCTAATTTTCTAGAATGTAGATACATAATCCAAAAGAGATTCCAGAATTAGAATTGGAATCAGAATTTGTCCGTTAAGTGTGGTTGTGGAGAATTGATTAAATGGTTTGGTGTGGACATAGGGCAGTATAGTTCCCATTCCAGATTGGTCAGTTTTGGTCAGCCCGAGGATAAGAAATCTATTCAGAACTAAAAATATCTGACCAATCTCAGTCGATTGGATTTCACTCTCTAGTCCATATCAGCTTATAGCAACATTAGCAAGTGATGAAAAAAGGTACAGGAAATTCTCTTCAAAGTTCACTTTAATTACACTAGGACTGTGGGCAATTATGGATCAGGTTACATTGCATTCACTTTTATAAGATCAAATAATGAATTAATGATGATATTTATATCAATTAATATCATGCTAACAATATACTGAAATGACTTTATTGGGATAGGGATGGATTCGGTTCGGGCCACCCGGCCCGTGACCCGGCCCGGCCCGGTAATGTGCGGGCCCGGGACCGGCCCGGTCGGGCGGTCCGGGACCGGGTATGGGCCCGAACTGGTGGGAAGGGGCGGGGCGGGCTTGGTTCAGCATTATTGTGACCCGGCCCGGCCGGGTCGGGCCTGGGCCCGGGTCCGGTTCAATTTTAAAAAAAAAAAAAATTTGGTTTGGGCTCCTACTAGCCGTTGGGGGTGGGGTTGGGGACAACCCAAACGGCTATATAGCCGTTGGGTGGGGTAAAGGGGGGGTCCGGGGGGGTTGGGTGGTGGGGGGTGGGGGGTAAAAAAACCTATAAATACTCCTAATCTTAAACATTTTTTCATATCTCTTCTCCAATTCTTCCTAAATCCTATTCTTAACTCTCTACTCTCTAATTCTCTTATTCTCCAATATATTATATATCTACTCTCTAATTCTCTTCTCCAAGAAGTTAAGATGGAAAATCAAGATGTCATTATACGGTATAATTTTGATAAGCAGAAGGACCCGAAGACATGGATGTGGTACGCAATTTGCAAATGGTGCGAAAAAAAATGTATCATGGGGGCTTCAGGCGGATTCGGGATGGCAATCAAGCATATGAAGTCATGTGACAAAGCCAAAGGATCGGGAGGTGCGGAAAGTTCCGATTGATTACAATTTTCAAAATGTTTCTCTTAAAGTTTGTTTTAATTTTCAAATGTAGTTCCTATTTCATTTCAAATAAATGCAATTGAAGTTTGTTTTTAATACTCGTATAAAACTATAAACTATAAAATATAAATTATATATAAAAAAATTAACCAGCCCGGCCCGAATCAGACCCGACCCGTGACCCGGGCGGGTGGCCCGGCCCGAACCGGACCCATCCAACCCTCGGGCCGGTCCCGGGCCCACTTTTCTTGAACCGGCGGCCCGACCGGGCCTAGGGCCGGCCCGGACCCGACCCGGCCCGAATCCATCCCTATTAATTGGGAGGCTGGGAGCACATTTTGCATGGTTCTTAAATAGTTGCAAACGTCCTTATTTAAGTACATTATACACTGGTGACTGGAGTATAAAAAGTACATTCTAAACTCACCAACATGGTTTTTTAAAATAAAAAAGAAAGAGAACTTACAATGTTTATTGAAAAAATGGCCCATATATTACAAATGGATTTTTGGATTCCAAAAATACTAAGTGTTATGACATTTTCCAAAATTATGACTCATCTTCCCAATTGAAGCACGACCTGCACAACTCCACCCAGACACAGCAGCCCAAGAGTGCAGCGTCATAAGTCAGTGTCACCCCTGTCCAGCACACGGTTGGGGAGCACATCTTGAGATGGCGAACCTCAAATTCTCAAAACATGCTTGAAATCCAGATTCAATTGTCAATTTGGAAGAAAAGAGGCAAATTTACCTGCAACGTGAACACTAAAACTTGCAATTCATCTTCTCGATTTTGATTACTTGATCATCGAACTCTATTCCAAACCCTAATCCAAGGCCGAACTTGAGTTTAAATATGACGTACGAAAAATTAGTAGAAAGAACACTGAATCAAAACACCCAAATCCCTGGATTGGATGATGCCATTGTTGAGCCTAGGTTTAAGTTCCTAAGAAGACGTCGTTGGGCTTGTGATGGGGTTGCATTGTACTGGCAGGGGCCTAGGGCAAGGGAAGGGTCGGGACAAGGTTTGGGGTTGGGGTTGGGGTTGGGGCAGTACGTGGTGTGCTAGGGCTGGGGGCGACAGCAGTGACTGGCCAGGGGTTGGTCGGGGCAACGACAATCACTAGCTGGGGGCGGCGGCTGTCACTGATGGGTGGAGTTAGGCTTGGACTCGATGCGGGTCACCCGGCCCGGGAACCGGTCCGGCCCGGCCCACCACTGTGCGGGACCGACCCTGCCCAGAAAACCGGGTCCGATTCTGGTTCGGGACTAAGCTCGGGGGGTCTACCAGTTCCGGGCACGAGTAAGGGAAAAGGGGAACCGGCCCGGCCGGTTCGAGCCTTTTTTTTATTTATTTTTTTGATTTTTTTTGTTTGGGCTGGGGTTAGTTGGGCTGGGCTGGGTATTTCCGAGGGGTTTGGGGGGTTGGGGGGGATGGGAGGTGGGGGTGAAATAAATAAGAATAAAAAAAATGAACCGGAACCGGTCAAGACCCGGGCCGGTCTCGGGCCTATGGATACGGAACCGGCGGCCCGGCACGGGCCCAACTCGGCCCGAGTCCAAGCCTAGGTGGAGTCACTGTGGCGACGCAGTCGCTAGCGAGGTGAAGTCACTGTGGCGGCGTAGTCAATGTGGCATGGGGCAGTCACTTTGGTCGGAGTCACTTTGGCCGGAGTCACTTTGCACTGCAGGGTTACTTGTGATGTTGTCACATTTTTGGAATATTTAAAAACATGTCACTTTTTTGTCTTTTATCATATTTTTAGTAATATCCGGGCCAAAAGGCCATGTTTATTTACTTGACCATGTTCTGAAGAACAAGATTTTAGTATATTGAGATCATTGGCATGGGCTCATCACAAAAAAAAAACCACAGTAAAACAAGATTACAAGTTACAACACTGCAAACCACAAGCTGGCATCGACCATTATTAGATTAAATGGGCTAAAATTAATACAATTTCAGCTTTTATTTTGTTCAACACCCCATCCTTCCAAATGAGTTTATGCAATTTGAAGGTGGGCATAAGCTGAAGTTTCATATTTTCCATCCCACCTGCGTCAATTTAATTGCAAGATGTTATTATTGTTGTAATTAGCCAAGCAAAGTGAGTTTTAATTATATATGTGTGATGTGATGTTCATTTGTTGACCTGTCATGAAAGTTACTCCCAGAGTGCGCGCGGGCGAGTGCGTGGGTGTGTATGTGCGCGAGTGGCGGTTGCGTGTGTGGATGTGTGTCTGTGTGCATGTGGAAACACAAAGTGAAACTCAAGCAGACCTGCATTCTTGTGTTTCTGGTATGTTGAGCTCTAGTTCTTCATCAAATGCTTGGAAAACTTTCTCAACTTGTCCCTCATCAACCTTGTCAAGCTCCGCAGGATCCCACTAGAGAGAAATGGTGAGCCCATAAATGTTGAGGTTCTTGAATGTCATTAATTTGTTTATTATTACCTTCGTCCCACTCATTTTTGCCAACTTTATATTGAGTGGGAAATTAGAAAAACAAAAATTGTGTGGTTGAGATTTGTGCAGAGGAGATAGAAATGAACAAAGTCACGAATTCATTGCTATAAAAGAAAGTGGCAAGGTTTTTTGGATAAACAAAAAAGGAAAGTTGGCAAAGTCTGATGGAACGGAGGGAGTATGTTCTAACAATACAGTCAAACTTTAGCTTTCATAATGAGGATGAGAGGGGGGGAGAGATTACTTTCGGGGAGTTATCTTTGTCGACGGTGATAGCTCTTATGCCCTTCATATATGTAGCAAAAAGATTACATGCCATTCTAGACCTAGAAATCAATTATAATAATCAAATACACTTCACCAGATATTACCTCATAGACATCACCAGATATCACTGCTCTCAGAATATTTATTGTTAGCCTAAATTCTTTTTTCAGGCATTCGGCCAGTGTTTGTTTCCTTCCTTCTCGAATCTGGGAGGAAATATGGCAGATATAAATATGCATAAAGATTAAAAGTAGAACTTCAAGAATTTGCTCACTGGTCAAATACTGTATATCTCATTTTTAAAACAAAATTTTAGAATTAATTAAGCAAATTGTTAAGACTCCTAAAAGGTAGAAAGAATAGTTCGGAATCTTAATACAATGTTTTATTGTTTTATAGCAATCTAGTGTGGGACAAATACTTCAACACGTCCCTAGTCCGGGACAATATTGAGGTGGATAAAATAGGTCAAATCAACTCTTAACGAGCTATCCTTAATCATGGGTGTTAAACAAACCATTCAATCACATCTGGGTTTGTCTCTTATACCACGTCAATCCTAAAAGGTGAAACCTCATAAGAGGAATAGTTCAAGATCCTAATATAGTGTTTTGTTGTTTTATAGCAATCCATTGTGAAACAAATATTTTCTAACACAGACCAAATCTTTTTATGAACTTCTAACTAGTTTCTCAAAAATAACTTGTTTACTGAAATAAAACTTAATGTAACAAAAGTTAGGCTAGAACAACTTCAGTCAAGTCACGTTATACAAGTTCAACTACCATTTTGAGATGAAAGGAGTAATATACTACAGAGTAATATGTAATAAAACACAAATATCTCAATCATCTTTACTTTCTTTAATTAAGAAAACTTACCGATTTTAGTGTGATCTTCAATCCTGTAGGAGAAGATCTTTTGAACCCTTTAAGCACAGCATGAATCCAACTATTCCCTTCTTTGTGTGCTTCAACTTCCTGATAAATATGTAAACATCATTTGTTTGAATAGCTTAACGTTATTCGACTAACCATCACATATTCAGGGCCTTTGTAAACAAGTCATACGAATGAAAGTATAATCTCCTCCACAGAATCCTTCCCAAAGATCTCATCAATAAGAGCCTGCCTGCATGCATGAAATAACTTTTGAATCTCTTATTTTTTCTGCAAATTGGGCAAAAAAGAGCATGAGTATTGATGTCAAATTGTTAAGGGTTTGTTTTGTAATAAGAGAAGAAATACATGTTTCCAATATTTTCAAATTTTCATTTTTGTTTTTGGATACTGAAAATGAAACCACGCCTTTTCTCTTTCATATTTTCACAAGAGTGAAACAGAATACAAAAAAATTACGTACAAAATATTACACTGACACCTTACTTGTTTAAGACACTTTCTTCATCAAGCTGAACGCTTATGGACAACTCCTCTATGACAGATCTGATAGCATTTTCATTGCCTGAGTTCAAATTTAATAAACGCTTCTCTAGCTCAGACAATTTCTGTTGGAACAATGATTAAGCAAATGTTATGATTTATGAGTAATCAATCACATCACAGTAAAAGAGAATGGATAATAAAACAATCACACTTTTTCAAACCAGTGTTTTAAATAAAAATGAAAACGAAAAACATAAATCAAATCACTCACATCAGAAGGGACGAAGTGTGTTGCCAATCCAAGTGCAACCAGTTCTTTACCATTAAGCCTTGCCCCAGTTAATGCCAGATACTCGCCTGCACATTACAAACATCCTCTCGAAGCCCATTCTTTATTGATTAAGGAGGGGAAGGTAGCATAACCCATGCTAATGCTTACCCAATCGGCCTGGAAGGCGAGAGTGGATATATGAGAAGCCACAGTCAGTGTGAAACCCAATACTTGCTTCTGGGGTAGCAAAAACCTAGACAGCAAAGTTAAGACACTGTAAGTAGAAATATATAGTACTTCATATAGTATATTAATACTTGGGTAGTTGGGTTCTATTTGACTCGTTGGAGCAGATCAAAACTTGGGATTTGATATGATATTAATACTTAAGCTTCATCCTTAAAGGTCGACTTCATAAAGGAGTAACCAAAATCCTTATATGTGAATTGTTATCTTTGTATTTTGCCAGTACAGAAAGTCTTAACAGTTAAATAGTATAGTAATGTATTTCACTTGTTTCTTGTCTTCATGAAGAAATATTATATAGAAGTCTTCAATATGTTAGTCCAAAGACCTTAGGTAGTATAATGTTAGTCCAAAGGTCTTAGGTAATCTTATGTTAGTCCAAAGGTCTTAGGTAGTCTATTGGGTATGTGAAAGGTTTGTTGCCTACATATGTATAGGTGCTATGCATCATGAAGGATGCAAGTTCAAGTTATGAAATATATCAATAAGAATCTCGCTATTCAACAGGATAGTGTGTATGTCTCGGATATCAATGGTATGTTGCACAGAAAGTTTTGCTATAAAGGCATACTTACAGTCTTTTCAGTTACAACAGAAAATTTCATTGGGACCATCAAGGATGCACCTCCACCCATCGAAATGCCATTAACTAGAGCAACCTGTGGGATTAGTTGTCATCAATGAACAATAAATTCTACACTAAGAGCTTGTATCACAGCTACAATTTAACCTATGACTAGAAATTTCAGCTATAATAAATCAAAATTAACCGTGATTGGGAGTATCCCCCCCTTTTCAAGAATGGCTTTTTCTAAATAAAACCCCACAAATTAAGCATGTTTGGGAACACTCCACAATCTTTTACCTGTTTTTGGTAAAAGATTTGTAATTTTCAATATTTTGAACACCTCGTTTTTTCTTTCATGTATTTCAGTACCATTTTATATACAATCTATTACCTCTAAAAGCTAATTTTTTGTTGCATCTGAAAAAAATTATTATTCTTCAACCATTTTAAAGCATAGTTAACCAAACAAAAACTGATTCTGATTATGTTAAGTATCTAATTGAATGACAGAGAGAATTCTAGCAGAAAGTAGGAACGAAGATGAACAGTGAATAGGATTTGTTATTCGATCAACAGAAAAGAGAGAGAAAGTGTCATGACAGTTAAAGAGATGTCAACTCTCCAATCCCAGCCAACTACCAAATAACAGTCTGCCTTATTCCTCCTTTAGATATCTATTTATAGAAGTCCACCCGACCCCCCCAAATACAATTCAGCTAGCTACTTATTATTCCCTTTCCTTCTGGAATACACTTTATCATAATAACTAATACTATTATTATTATCAAGAGGTTGACTTCCTGAGACTCTAACATCACTCCCCCGTGGAACTACCACCTTGTCCCCAAGGTGGAAGTAAGGAAATTGCCTATGAAACTGTTGCAGCTCCTCCCAAGAATAGTGGACAGATTGATTAAATCTGCTCATTTTATCCCAATTTCAGCAAGTATTTCTTTGGAGAAGTTGGCAAGAGTATATATACAAGAGATTGTTAGATTGCATGGTGTTCCGAAGAGTATTATTCCTGACAGAGATTCCAGATTTACGTCTCACTTTTGGAAGTGTGTACAACAATCATTGGGCACGAAGTTGAAGTTTAGTACCGCTTTTCATGCTCAGACAGATGGCCAGACTGAGAGGACAAATCAGATTTTAGAGGATATGTTACGAGCATGCGCTCTAGATTTTCAAGGAGGATGGGCAAAATACTTTAGTTTGGCAGAATTTGCTTATAATAATAGTTATCAAGCAACTATCGGCATGACTCCATATGAGGCGTTGTAGGGGAGAAGATGTAGATCTCCCATATCATGGTATGAAACAGGAGAGAAGAAGGTCCTAGAAGAAGGATTACAAGGAAGGACGGAGTTGATAGATGAGACCTCAGAAGCTATTAAGAGTTTAAGACTATCAGGCAAAAGATAGAATCTGCCCAATGTAGACAGAAAAGTTATGCAGATGTTCGGAGGAAACCTCTACAATTCGAAGTGGGGGACTTTGTTTTCGTTAAGATAGCCCCGATGAAGGGTGTGATACGGTTTGGAAAGAAAGGAAAGCTTAGGCCCAAATTCACCGGACCATATGAGATCACTAGACGAGTTGGGAAGGTAGCTTATGAGCTAGCACTACTTGAAGAGTTTTCTGGCATTCATAATGTCTTTCATGTTTCGATGTTGAGGAAATACTTTGCTCATCCAGAGCATGTTTTAGTACCCCCAACAGTAGAAGTGTAAAATGATTTGTCTTACGAGGAGAAGCCGGTACAAATTCTTGATCGTGAGGTTAGACGTCTTCGGAATAAAGAGATAGCTCTAGTAAAAGTGTTGTGGCGAAATCACAAAGTTGAAGAAGCTACTTGGGAGGTTGAGGATGACATGAGACGTCGTTATCCTGAGTTGTTCTAAGTTTCGAGGACGAAACTTTTATAAGGTGGGAGGGGTTGTAACACCCCGATTTTTATGAGCTAGTTATATTAATCAATATTATTTATTTTAGTTTGTTAAATAAGTTTCTTCTATGACTAATGTGATTTTTTGTTTGATCATGTGTTGTTCTGGAAGGTAACGTTGACCGGTAAGCTCTAATAATTTTAAGTGAAGAAATAAGTAATGTTTTAAAGCTTAATCAGTTTATTTTAAAATAGAGAATACTTTTAATGTTGGATTTTTTTTAAGAATATTAGGAGCCCAAATCAATCTTAGCCCAAGTAAGTTTCTTTTAAACTAAATCCCTAGAGAAGTTACGCCACTTTCTTCGATAAGACTATAAGAGCCGCTGAAGCAATCGAAAACCCTTGGTCCGCTCTTTAGCTAAAATTTGTCGGCATTTATTGTTCTCTTCTCTTGATTGCGGCTGCTCTTTGCTCTTCCTCCCAATACGGAAATTTTCTCACTTAAGAAGTCAAAAACATGGTAAGTTGAAGCAGGGCCGATCCTAAGAGTTTTTTGGTCCGAGTCGAGCTGTAAAAAAAGGCCCTCAAGAATTTTTGGGGAGGAAAGTTCATGTCCGGAATTCCGGAGAGGAACCGCCATCCGGACGGCGGCGTTTGGGCGCCTTCCTGGTGGAATTTTTTGATGAAATTTTTATTTCATGTTTTTCATCAAGTCTAGTTTATCCAGAAAAAATGTCAGCTAAAAATTCGATCGGGAAGGCCGTCAAATGGTTTTTTAAAGATTACTGGGCCAAAATATACACATAAAACGCAGTTAACTTCCAAAAAAAATTTGACGGTCTTCCCGGTTGAATTTTAAGCTGAATTTGTTTGTGGATAAACTAAACTTTATAAGGAACATGCCATAAAAATTTCGTAAAAAATTTCACAGAAAAAGTGGCCAAAGGCGGTATTTCCTGTCCGGAATTCCGGACATGAACTTTCTTCTATATAAAGGTAACTAATAAATTTTTGGGGCCCTAATTTTTTCCCCAAATTTGTGGGCATGAGGTAGTTGCCTCTTTGCCTCACGTAGAGGTTCGGCCCTGAGTTGAAGTTCCAGTTGTATTCTATCTACTTATATTGTTCTGTCAGTATTGTTTAGAGTAAGAATTTTTGTTATTTCATTGGTCAAATAAAGGTTGGCAAAACTTTGATTTATTTAACTTGATTTGATTCTGCTTGTGTCAAACTAATTTTGGGGAGATTCGCACATAGATAAGAGTTTGTAGGTTCTCTTGTAAAGTGTATTATATCCCCACTAATTTATTCTTTCAGTTGAATTCGTTTTTTCTTTCAAACTGTTCTACCAAGTGATTTGATCTGCGGTGAACAGCCCATGATTTAACTTTAAATCTCAGTTGAGTGGGTTCCATAGTAAGCCAAAGATTTCAGAAGACAAATTTTGTTCTTATTGGTTTTAAATCAGCTAAGCTATCTTCTTGAGTTTATTCAAAACAGGAGCAGCAAATTAGTCTCATACGAAAGTCTGTTTTAGAGGGTTATTGTTGGATTTCTTTAGGTTTCATAGAGCAGCCACCTTATTTTCATTCTCCGAAAATTTAAACAGAATGATAGCAAGTTCAATTAATTTTGGGTTGGCTATGGTACTGCCGTATTCTTCATCTGGAACATGGATATATTGATTCAAAATGAATTGTTTAGTATAGGCCAAGGAGGGACTGTCTAGATCATTCTTTTACAATTGACTTCAAATTTGACTATAATAGATACAGAACATTTAATCGATCTTTTAGTCAGTACGTTTAAATTACAGAGTTTTGGTTTACAATACAATCAATTTCAGCTTTGGTTATAGTATAATGAGATTTAATCATAATGTTATATTTAATATTTAATTAAAGATTTCAAAGAAGAGCTTACCGGAAGACGTTATAAAGGTGCCACAATTATTTGAGTAGTTTGAGTTCTGCTGATAACAGGTAAGTTCACTACCACCTGTACATGTTTGTTCCGCCAAATGAAAGAGAGAAGTCTGGTTGATTTTAGTAGATGATTTTAGACTATTTGCTATTATGTGAGTTTGGTGAATTATTTGATGAGTTATTTTAATTGTTGTATTAATTTACGTTTATTATCTGGCATAGTCAAGATTATGTCGGTACTTTATTTCAAGATGTTAAGATGTTTTATCCAAACGTCACCATAAAAAGAACTAATATTTAAAGTGAAAGATTAAGTGATATGTACTCGAGAATAAGTTCCCAGAGTTATTGATTATCATTTTCAGAGAGTCTGATATGTTTAGTGGGTCGCTCCCCTGAGCTGTCGGATTGGCGCATTTGAGTACATATCACGGGCCCACAGAGTTAAAATTAACCACAAAGAGTTTTACAGAAAGCTTATGAGATCTCTTTCAGAAAGTTTTACAGAAATGTCTTGAGATCTCTCGTCAGTTTTAAGAAATTATTTCAGAAGTATTTCTTTTGAGATCTCTTTCAGAAGCTATTTGAGAATGTTATTGTGAAGTATTTGTTAGGTGCATGCTTATAGTCTAAATTTATCTATTGATATATTGGCATAGACTTCTAAATATTTTTTTGTGGATCCATAGTGACTTACTAAGCGTAAAGCTTATCAGTTTTCTTTCTTCGCATGTACAAATACTAAGGGTAAGGCCAAGGCCTGGGAAGATGATGAGGGAGTGGAACGCGTGCCAAGATGAGTTAACGGGGACGACCTTGGCGGCTTCTAGCTAGTTATTATTTTATTTCAGTATTTTAATTGTTAAAATAAAGAGATTATTATTAATTAATTTATTTGAGGATTTGAAGTTTGAATAAATTCCTGGATCCAGGTGGTTATCACATTTGCTGGTGATAACTAGATTTTATTGAGTTTTTATTTAGAGTTATATTTTAGTTATATTTGATATTTTATCAGGGTTATTTCTTAGACAAACGGCCATTATATTGCAGTTTTTTTAAGTAGTAAGTTTATGTAACGTTTCCTTTAACCCTGAGAGGGTCGTTACATAACATGGTCACATTCTCTTTTTGGAGGTAAACCAATTGGGGGTTGGAATACCTCAGCAAATTGTGTGATCATTTCTTGCATCCAGAGTTTTTCTTTTCCTTCTTCCACCTTGTTTGCTGTAACTGCACTGCTGAACAAACAATACCCTTCTCTCTGCTCTTGCA